TATTTTATCAACTTGTCTTCTGAAGATGCTCTGTGTTGAAGGATCAGTGGATCTGTGTTCGACTACTCCACCTAGGCTGCATTTTTGAGTTCAGATCCACTGAGAAACTTGCTGTTTCAGCAACATTTAATTTAAAAACTGGACTTTTGAAACAAATCTTCATAATTAATATAAATAAATTACAAGTCAAAAGAGGATGGCCATTTCTCTTTTTTGTATCGAAAAAATATCGAACCGTGAGACTAAAGTACTGAACCGAACCGTGAATTTCCTGATTCTTTGCAGCTCATTCAGGTAATAAAATGCATCATTTTATCAGTATGTGATCCAAACATGAATAAATAAAAGCAGATTACCGTGATTATCGTAGACGCTGACCCAGGACACTCCCACWGCCAGGCACCACACCACCAGCTTAGATACATCCGTGAAGCTCAGCTCCTCCTCCGCCACCATGAAGCCGACGTGGGCCGGCAGCTTCTCCAGAGCCTGGCCGTCTGACAGCCACCGAGCCCGGCTGCCCGCAGCTCGGTTCCCTCGGTCTGGGTCCACATTAACATTCGGACTCGCCTTCCTCTGGTAGCCCGGGAACTCGGACACGGCCACCGGCAGAAGCAGGGCGGTGATCGTTCCCTCCCACAGGCGGCCTCTCCAGCTTCGAATTCGGACTTGGAGCCAGGAAACAACCGCTCTCTTGACACGGACCAGAACCAGCAGGAACCGCCATAACAGGCTGTAAAGCAGCGCCATTAGAGCTCTTTGTTTCACCGAGCAGGGTCAAACAGTGAAGGAGCCGCTGTGCTCTCAGAAAATAAAGACCTACAACTCAGCTCTGCCGGCTGCTCACTCCGTCTGCCGCCATCTTTCTTCTTCTTCTTCTGAGGTTTTCTTTGGCGGCTGGCAAACAATGCTTAGAGTCACTGGCGCCATCAGCTACATGAGGTATGAACTGCAATGAAGCAAAAAATAAAATAAATCAAACTAGAGAAACACTGTGAATGCCTGTTGCTGAAAACGTCAGCTGAAAGCTGCAGAAGCCGAAATTGAGCTGAATTAACAAAAGAATTATTATAAGTTAAATCTGAAAAGCTGGAAAAAGCAAAAAATGCAGAAAAACAGCAAAAAGGACCAAAATATAGCTGAATTACCATAAAAAGCTAAAGGCTAAAATAGCTGAATATTGCAAAAAGCAACTGTAAAAAAGCATAAATAACTGAAATTAGCAGAAAGAAGCACAAAAAAGTAAAAAAAAGCAGAAAAAGCATAAAAACAGCAAAAAGAAGCAGAACTATAGCTGAATTAGCATAAAAAGCTAAACTCTAAAGGCTAAAATATCTAAATATTGCAGAAAGCAACTGTAAAAAGAACAATGAACTATAATTAGCAGAAAGAAGCACAAAAAAGTTAAAAAAGCAGAGAAATAGCAAAAAGAAGCAGAACCATAGCTGAAATAGCATAAAAAGCTAAAGGCTAAAATAGCTGAATATAG